GCGACCGAGGATTTAATCGTTCTCTGGGGGCGGTTGCTTTTGACACTTTAGTTTTTATACACTTCACCCTGCGCGATAAAAACACTTGGCAGCTCCTGGGTGAGGAGGTCGCCCCTGGGGTGGACGAGGGCACTGTTGCGTTGCGGTTATCCGACCCTACCAGACGATTCTCACGGGCTCCGAATGGAGTCGGGTAATTTCTCTAAAATAAAAAAAGGAAAGAAAACAAGTGGGTGGATCATTGAAGTTCCGCGACTGGAGAATAGTCCCAGTTGAAATTTTTATGAGAGAAATAGTTTTCAATTAATCTTAGGTGACCCTTTATGGTCAGAAAGGGATTTTTAGAGCTTCATTGTTGAGTTTTACAATTATTTTTTATGCCGTTAGTGAAAAGATACATTTAAAAAATAAAATCACAAATATCTGTATTTGTTTTTGTGTTTTTTTATTGATACGTGATTCTTTAATTAAGAAAGAGTTTTACCAAAACTTCTATATATAATTGCATAAAAATTCTTGGGGAAAAAAGATACAAATGGGAAGAGTTTGTACCTTATTATTATTAATATAGTGATAATAAAATACGAAATTATAAGTTAGTTTATTGCCGCATGTACTCTTGGAAAATGTCAATTATAAGATTATATGAACATTTTAAGACTTTAAAACTATGTATTTTAATTTTGTATTTCTGTATTATTTAACTGGGAAACAACAGTATTCACAGACTATTGAAAATTGCTTAAAGCTCTTTTAGATATTTAAAAATTGTAAAACACAGGAATCAACGCAAAAATGCTTGAAGTCATTAACAACAACAATAATAATAACTTTTATGAATTTTAATTTGTTGTTAATATTAAGGGAACTATATAATTATATAAGAATATCCAGAAAAAGTGACAATATAATCAATTTTCAAAGTATTAACATTTTATAGAATATATGGAAAATATGTTCGTAGAAATTTATTTCAGAAGACATATGCCAGACTGCTTATCTGGAACATTTTCAAACACAAAACTATTTATATATACTTCTTAAGCAGTGGCGCACACAAGGGAGGTGGTCCTGGGGGTCCCGACCCTCCCCCAAAAGCCCTTGATTTTTTTTCCGATTGATTATAATTCTATGTATATAGTACGTAAAATTTAATTAAGTATTTGTTATTAATGATTAATTTTTTTAATTAATGTTAATTATTTATTCAATAATTAGTTTTTTACTGTGTTTTGTTCCCGAAAATCGACAAAATCAAAAGGATCATGATACAAGAATGGTGAACTTTCGACCCCGGATCCCCCTTGAAAAATGCCTGTGTGCGCCACTGTTCTTAAGTAATATTTCTAAAAAAAAATTGAACGCAATTTAAAGATAAAGGAGGGATAAATTTTGAAGTAGCAATATTTTAAATTTGTTTCATTCTATAATAAATAATATTTTCATAAACCCATACCCACTTCGTACTTAAAAGTTTAAGGCATGTATATTTATAAAAATAATTACGGTATAAGTAAAAATCATTCACAATTACATGAGTTTATCCGGTGCCATAAAATTCTACGGTACCTGTCTTTTTGCTCAGATTTTAGAAGATATGTTTTTTCTTTTTCTTTTATTTTCAATTTCCACTTTTTTTTTTCTCCAAAAGTATATGAATACTTTTATTTTTCTGCTCTTTATGAATATTTTTTAAGTCCAGAGAAAGACATACTTACTTCTGTATTTTAATTATTAATGTTATTTTTTTAAAAAAACAGCACATTATATATATATAAAAAAAGAGCTATGCTACGTATAATATACAGAATTTATGTATTAAAAATTCTGTATTCGTTGTCGTTGAAAGTATATAATTTTGTTAGTTAAAGCTTACACGAGTTAATTACAGTACTTGAAGGTATAAAATAAAGTTATTTATTTATTTCCTTCTTATTTTCTTTTTATTGTATTTTAGTTATCTTAACACCGCCACACACCCCAAATCGGTAGTTAAGGTATCCGACTACGTTCGGAACCGTGATTTTCAAAAGCGCATAAATAGATAATTTTCATGATATTTAGTGTCACTTAGATTATAATACATGTACAAAATTGTTTTAAGGACATTTTGACAAAAAATTTATTTAAATATAATATTTTGCCAAAAAATTAACTTAGAATAATCTTTTTCCAAATGTTCTCCTTATGGAAAAAATCGTTGTATTATAGTAATATTTTGCCTGTATTTAGCTCAGACCTCTCTACAGAGGCTCAACTAGAATTTTTGAAAAATTCACATTATTTTCAGAGTTACCACCAATTGAAATAATTATTGGTGTTTTTTTTCTTTAAATTGCTCCCCTCTGTTGTCGTAAAATATGAGTAAACCCACTTCTAGGTCATATATTTCAAAAATTCTTGTTGAGCCTCTGTAGAGAGGTCTGAGCTATATACAAGCAAAATATTATTATAATAGAAGCATTTTTCACAAAAGGAGAAAATTTGGGGGAGATTATTTTAAGTAATTGTTTGCCAAAATATTATAAATAAATAAATTGTTTTTGTCAAAATGTCCTTAAAAGAATTTTGTGCATGTATTCTAATCTGAGTGACGCTAAATATCATGAAAATTATGTATTTATGAGCTTTTTTAAAATCACGGTTCCGGACATAGTCGGATACCTTAATTGGGGGAGGGGGGTATATTTTTTTTTCAAATTCCTCAGTTTTTCTTTCAGTTACAAATGTACGATCAATAATTATTCCATTTGTTCTGAAAAGGACCTATATTTATCAATATATAATTATTGCTTTCAATCTAAATATTAATTGTGTATTTTAAAACAAACGATGTAAGGAATTAATTTTTTTCCCCAGGCTATTCGCTGCACTGCTGTCAGTTGTTCCTGTGACTGTTTCTCCCCTTGTAAAGCACAGATTCGCATCTGCGATGGCTGTGGACATGGATGGGTTAGCCACGGTAAGTATTCTTTCTGGCTTTTTTTCCCTCTAATTATAGCTTCAGGCTGTTCCGCAATCTAATTAATAAAACGTGAAAAAGAACCGAACTAAAAATGTACTAAATTCCCAATTTTATTTACAACGCTAAGTTTTGTCAAAAAATGTGTGACAGAGGTCATTTATGCGTAAACGATGTAAAACTAATAAACTGCAAAACTTCGGAGTCGGCCTCCGAAAAGGATAGAAAAAGTATTCTTTTAATAAATGATTCATTCGTTGAGCCTGCGGCTAGCTGTAAGCTTTACTTTAATCGCATGTGAATTTCGATGACACGAATAATAAGACACTCGATTGTCATAAAAATGGAAAGAGTGAAATACAACAGACATTTATTGCATTATCTTTTTGTGAAGAGGATGCCGATGGTATTACGTTTACGACCGTTGAAGCAACTTTGTGTTGTGGTCTCGTTTTTTGTCGCACCGAATGCAATAATTTAATCGTTACTTTGAGTGGTGCAATTTTTTTTCCTTTTCCTCCTCTCTCAATTCTTTTATTTTTTAAATAGTTTTTCTTCCTAAGAAATATTGTTTTAGAAAGATTTATTGTTCGAAGAAATGGAACTATTCATTGCTCTTTTCCTTTCTTTTTTTTCACCGAATAGCAAAATTTTATTTCCGCTGTTTAAAAGAGACTAATAGATTTTTAAACAGCACAAAATGTACAGAACAGATTTCAAAATATCTGAAATGATGATGTACACCAGGGGTGTTCAACTCAAAGGCTAGCTTGGGCCAAGCAAGCAAGGTTTAACTTTAGGTGGGCCACAAAGAAGAATTTGTATTAATAGAAACGTAAGTTTATTTCAAATAATACATTATAATAAACTGAAAGAAAAGAATAAGAAAAGATTAATGTTTACATCCTGTCTCTTGGTATCTCTTCTCTGCTACTAATTTTCCTGTTTCGGGAGAAATTTTGATATTTTATTACATATTATTATATACTGATATACTGACCGGGCCGCGAGTTTGATACCCCTATTGTACACGGTGATTGTTTACTGAAGGATATGCGGCTCAATACATTTAATATATTATGACTGTGTAAATATTTACACTGTATTACCACAGTATTAAAAATGTAATATTATTAGATTGTAGAAAAACATTCAAAATTGCATATTTCTTCTGAGAAATTTTATTATCATTGTATTAAATAAATAGATAGATAATAATTTATTTTTCATTTACACAATATATAGTACATTTTCTTTCCATTGTTTTTTTAAGCACTATCTATTTCAGCTTTATACTTCATTCTTTGCGATCTTGAATCACATTTTATGCCTGATTTTCTATTTTGATTTTACGTTAAGGTTTTTGACACGTACTGTCTGTACACGTTCTTCAACTGTATTGCTTTTAAATTAAATGCGCATGGTTATACAAATGTTAGGGATGTTTTTTAAAGAGAATAAAATAAAAAATTGCTTTTGTTAATAGAAAAAATTTGTTAGAAAGACTGCATTTTCTTTGATTAATTTTTTAAAAAAAAGAACCTATGTGTTGAAGAATAAAATTTAATATTGTTATTAACTTCTAAACTGTTGCTGTTTTGTTCTTCTTACAGAGCACATCAATGAAAGGAGAAGTCAATTCCTACTTGGGTCAATAAAGAAAAGAATTTTTTTAGTTACTTTTTTTACTAAATAGTTACAACTAATACAAGTATGACATGACATACAATAACGATAAACATATGATATACATATGATATGAATATGATATACATATGATATGAATATGATATACATATGATATGAATATGATATGAATATATATGATATACATATCATATGAATATGATATACATATGACAGAATCACAATATTAAGTGACAAAATAGAAAGCTATTTTTTTTCCTTGCAGTTTTTATATTTTTCGTTCTATATATGGCGTTGGACTATTTTTTGTTACTATTTATTTATTAATTAAATTTAATTATTCTATTAAAATAGCATAGTGAAAAAGAAATCACAATCTCAGAAATTAGGCCATCCCAAGTAGGATTCGAACCTTTGGATTAGAATTCCAACGCGCTATCCATTGCGCAACAGGGACGCAACGAACGTTTCCTTTTTATCTATACTGTTGGACTATTATTTTTATTAGTTACTACTCATTCATTTTTTTTAATTTAAGAATTATTTAAAAAAAAATGTATTATCATCAAGTGTCATCCACTACAAGTTTAAAAAAAATGTTTTTGAATTTGAATGGTTGAATAGAAAGTACTTTATTAACGATTGAAAATTTGAACAAGATGTTATATATATCAGTGCCGATTTAAGCTCTATTCGGCCCTGGGCGCAGAAGATCTGTAAGCCCTCTTGCCACTGGAGAATCGAAATTTATAACCAGAGAATCAGGTTAAGTTCAGCTTATCCAGTCCCTGGGCTCCCTCTCCAAGCGCCCAATGTATAAACCGGTTCTGATATATATATATATATATATATATGAATATATAGGTGTTTTTTTAGAGGTATAGAACTTTAAATTGCAATAAAACAAAGATGTATTATTCGATTGACATGATTTTTTTTTATTCGAAAGATAATCTTGTGGCATTACATTTTAAATATGATTTCTGGCATAGGACTGCCACGGCTGGCTCGGATGTAGTCCAATCTGTACGCCCAATTTTCGGTGACTTTTTTCCAACATTTGTGGCCGTATATCGGCAATAACACGGCGAATGTTGTCTTCCAAATGGTCAAGCTTTTGTTGATTATCCGCATAGACCAATGACTTTACATAGCCCCACAGAAAATAGTCTATCAGTGTTAAATCACAAGATCTTTCAGGCCAATTCACAGGTCCAAAACGTGAAATTAGGCGGTCACCAAACGTGTCTTTCAATAAATCGATTGTGGCACGAGCTGTGTGACATGTTGCCCCGTCTTGTTGGAACCACAGCTCCTGGACATCATGATTGTTCAATTCAGGAATGAAAAAGTTAGTAATCATGGCTCTATACCGATCACCATTGACTGTAACGTTGTGGCCTTCATCGTTTTTGGAGAAGGATTCCACCAGCCCATAAAGCGCACCAAACAGTCAGTTTTTCTGGATGTAACGGTGTTTCGCCTTACACATGTGGATTAGCTTCACTCCAAATGCGGCAGTTTTGTTTGTTGACGTAGCCATTCAACCAGAAGTGCACTTCATCGCTAAACAAAATTCGCTTTTGAAAATCGGGAACAACGGCAATCTCGTTTTGGGCCCATTCGACGAATCTACGCCTTGCTTGATGATCGTTTTGATGAATTGCCAAACCAAACTGAGAATAAATCCCTTGACAGCTGTTAAATCAGTCGCCATCTTGGAAAGTAATGCCAACTTAAACTTCTATACCTGGAAAAAAACACCCTTTATATATATAGGCAGATAGTGAACCTAATATTAGGAATTGAAAAATAAATATCCATTAGGAAAAAAAATTCAATTTTGCTATTAATTTCCAAACTGTTACTGTTTTGTTCTGCTTTCAGAGTACGTCAATAAAAGAAAAGGAAAGAGAGAGATTCAACGTCAAAAATATGCTCTAAATAAAAATAAAAATAATAATAATAATAGAATAAAAATGCGCATGAAGTTTTCACACTTTAAATGCGTTCGTGTTGCTATGTTTCATGTTCCCTCCACTTAATACCGCAATTAATACCACTTTATGGGACAAAATACTCATGTTCAACAGCGTCTTAAGCCGCAGTAAACTTGCTTTGTCGAAGATTTCTCCGGGCAATGTAGTTTTAAATTATTTTCTCGCTTCTAATCCTAGCTGAAAAGGTCATCAGTTCGTAATCCAGTAGTTTCTGCTTGCAAATCTAGTAGTTGGCGTCGACTGAGGTGCGTGGTTGTGTTGCACGCAAGCCGCAAAGATAAAAGAGATGGTTCTAAATCATCTGCTTAGACCTCAGAACATCCGACTGCCACCAACCTTTATAATACTTGATTCTGAACATACACTGTATGTTCTTGAATTACTCCTCACCTTAATTTTCATAAGTTAACCCAGATACTTATCGTTTTGCTTATCTACTTGCTAGACAATTAAATAGTATTGTATAAATGTGCAATGCTATATTTCAATGATTTGTTGCTTCTTGCAACTTGAAATTGACCCCTAAAAGTTCCTAGCTACTTCGGATTAGCTTAAACATTTCTTTTTTTAATTTGCTTCTGAAAAAATATTAGCAAATTATTGGATTAATGCCGTGCATATGTTTTTCATTTTCTTGCGGATATTATGTAAATTAAGGCATTATTTTCCAACGAATTTTACAATTAGAAAACAAATTACCTTGTCCGAACATTACTTACAAATTTGATGCATCTTCTATAAAATTATGAATGAAATTTTTATAAAAAAAAAATGAAAAATTATTATGAATTTTTTTCTGGGTAAAGATTGAGTAAAATTTAGTTAAATTGATCTCTTTTTTTAAAGTTTAAGTTGTCTGACAAATATATCTTATTCATTTTCTATTGGAACTAAAACTATTAAACTAAACAGATGTTGTGTTTCTAAAATTTTTAAGATAAATAATTCAAGAGAGAGAGAGATATCACGATGTGGTAATTTTAAATTCTTTTATCCTACAAAAGCATTTAAGTCAAAAATATTTTTAAGAATTTTCTAATAATGAATTTAAGAAGAATCATTCGTTTTCGAAATCATAGGCTTAAAAATTTTGCACTTCATTTTACGTCACAGAAAATAATTCTAAATGAAAATTTAGACTTAAAATATTGTTAAAAATTGATAAGTTCATATTTGAAATTTATCTCTGTATCTATTTTCATAAATTTGTTTTGAATTTCTAAGGGTTTTTTGAAAGGTAGAGTCTTTAAATAACGTAAATTTAAAGAAAATCTTAATTTTTAATGCATATATTTTTCTCGTTAATGGAATTCGAAATTGCAAGAATTCTTTAAAAAGTGATTAACTATAGATTTTTCTTTATTTTCTTTCCTCAGAAAAAAAAATTATCCTTAAGGTACAAGACGTATCCTTAAGGACAGTTCAAGACTTAAGTTTTCTGAAATCCTTTTTTTTTTAAAAAAAATAAACTGAATGTAAGATGCGGTTTTTATGTATTTCTTTATCTGATGAAGATTACAGGAAAAAGTCTAATTATTTTCATTAAAAAAAATTGAAAGGATGAACTTAAAAACCTCCAGGTAGTAATAAGAGGAATGTTAAGTTTAATTCGTGCTGGATATATCCTACTGTGTTTTCTTTGTTCCGCAAAACCTACGCCATTTTCGTAATTTTTTCTCTCCCTACCGTGTTATTTCTTTTCCTGCATAATCTCGACTCTTCCCATTAAATTCGTTTCATTTTGAAACTTATTTTTATCACCCATCTCTTAGGGGCAATTAAAAGAACAGGGTTGCTGGACACGATCTTAAGCCCCCTTTAATGATGACCTTCCCTTGAGTAAGCATTATCCCTTCCTGTCCTGATTTGCATACGGCTACGCTTAGGGTTTCAGTCAACATAAGAGGAGGGTTCACTAAGGATTGATGGGTTTATAAAAATCCGGGACAACCATAGCCTCATTTTTTTATCCTCCCTTCGTGCTTGCAGGCCCCCTTCCCATTAGGTTTCTCTATTCATCTCTTTGTCTTAGGTGGTTGTCCCATTGACCTAGGCACCACTCTCTCTCTCACTGTCTAAATCTTAACCATCTCGAACTAGGCGTCCTGTGTTTGAAATACACTGCCGAAATGGGATTTTTTCCCCCTTTCTTTCTCTATCGTGCCAGCAGAACTTTTTTGTTCCCCTTCTTATTCTTAACAGCAGAAGAGGAAGACCTGGAAGATGAGTGTCTCCCCTGTGGACAATTTGACAGGGCATTTTCGGAATTCAGATTTATCGCAGCAGCGCCACGTGCAAATCAATTTTTTATGCAGCTTTGCCCCCTTTCTCGTCTCCCCACAGCTACAACGGAATAGAGAGAAAGTCTGCGGCGCTCTAAATTGACAGAGAGTACTTCAGCAAAGTCTTTCACTACATTTATTTACTTCTTTTTTCTCCGCATTTAAGTCCTTTTTTGTCCTATTTTTTAAACCCCTCGGTGTCCCTTAAGAGATGCGTCGAGAGGACTTAAAAACCCATATATCCCTCGCACTATTCCTCGTGCCTCGTCGTGAATGTATACTTTTTTTAAAGCACTCGCTGTCTATCCAGAGTCCAGAGAAATGGATGCCCCCTCTCCCCGGCATTTTTTTAAAAAGTTTCTGGAGTGGTTGTATATACATGTCTATATGGGAGGTGAGCCGCCCTTCGTGGCTTAATGATTCCGTTGGAGGATTTTTCTTCCCTACTACTTTATAGTTGCGAAAAATTGCGCGGCGAAAAAGGACTCTAGACCCTTTTATCTTCACCACCATAAAAACCTCGAGCAGGATAAAGGATTATTTCCCTAGCCTCTTTCCAACAAGCTATTATTCTCTCGATACAGAAACGGGAAAAAAGAAAGCAGGAGTTTTTATTTTAATATTTTTTTTAGAGTATGTGTGCTTCCTAGTGGTTTAAATTAGGTAGGAAGACCGAAACTTTCGGAAGTGAAATGAATGTCTTCCTCGATTTGGCCTTTTTCTCTTCTAGAATTTGTCCTTGATTGACTTGCTGAATTGATACATCGTGAGAAACGGGATATTGATACTTTTTACCCACACATCTTTAAATTATGCTTTTTATTTACGTTAAAAATTAAAATTTCTTGGAATTTTTAAAATTAACTTTTACAACGAATGACAGTTTACATATTTTGTCTTCTATATCCACATTACAGTCGTAATTGCGTATTATTAAATAAATAAATTAATATTTAGAAGCGTAGAAAAGCAAATAATTTTAAAACAACTAACGTAATTTTGATATTTTTTCTAAAAAAGCTAAGTAAACGCTGTAATCAAAATGTACTTTTCTAAATGTTTCGACGACATTTTTTTCATCTCCCTGTTTAATTGTAGCCTTAAATATACGATTACGGACTTTATATATTAATTTATAGGACTTTCTTAACTAATTTCCTCTCTTGTTCTACACA